CGACCCGATTTACCGACCCTAAAGGTTACACGAGAGATCCGACCGATTAGCGACTGACTCGCCGTTTTACGATTACACCGTTCATAAAACCCGTACACTAGATTTAATGAATCACGCGCGGGATTTTTTGAAAAAACGCGATTTGACCATCTCTAATGATGACGCAATCACTACCAAATAACTATTTATTATTCGGATAGACAAAATCCATGATTGACGTTGAAAACACTGATAGTATAAGTATGAGTAACGCACGTGTGCATAGCATAACAGATAACTGACAATGAATGTCAATGCACAAAAATATCTGGCTGATGTAACCTGCCTTTTGTCGGCAAATTTTTTTTTTAATTTGAGATTCAGATACGACGACCAATAAAATTTGTCTAATTAATATAAAATTTCCTTAAGAATCCTTACGTAAAATTTTCAACTACCGCAATGGCCTCCCCTAAAAATCTTATCATGTATAGGTTATGTATATTACAGATAAAATAACTGGTTTTGATAATTCTGTTATAAAATCGCAAATTTTGGTCATCAAAGCACATAGAAGTATGGGTCCGTCGTTTCGCTCCAGACAGCAAGCCCTATATGTATACGTAATAAAAAAATCAATCGTAATTAGCTTGCAATGAAGTCATCGTACATAAACTTACCCTGATTTGTGATCCTGTGATATTGTGGCCTCGTTCCACATACTGGCCAAATTCAATCACGAGACTAAACCACAGTACCCACGAAAGAAGAAAAGTGTTAGCGAAAATTATAAAAGAAGAAGGAACTAGGAAGGAAAAGTTTCAAAAAATAAAGAGAATAAAATACAAACAGATATTAATGAATAGAATACTTAACAAGAGAATACTAGATCACCAAACACTATCCTTATAAACCCAATAAACCCAGGTCGAAGCCTTACCAATATCAGGGTTTGGTTAAAATATGTATGATAGTTGGATAGAGCAATTTTATTAGTATTAGTGTGTTGTTGTAGTGAGTTATCTATACTTCGACCTTTATAACTTTCTCACTAACCGAAGCTGTCGCAACAAAATTGTCATGGTAGATTCTCGATTTTGATTGGCTAAGAGCGACGATCAAAAAATTTAGCTAAAATTACTCAAAATTTTACTAATGAAATCACGACTGCCCATTAAGTGAAAATGAGACCTGTGATAATTTTACCATTGTGTAGGTCTATTTCTTTAAAATTTTCTATTTTTGGAATGAGAAAGTTACAAAGTTAATTCCGACCAGAAATTAGTAAATAATTATGTAATGCGGGCCGTTAGTAATCAAATCGATGATCTATTTTGTTGCAACAGTTATTTTCTCAACTTATAATCATTAGATCACATATTCATATTAGTATTTTGGTCTAGAGATGAGTAAGTCGAGCATTTTTTGAATCCATTGTAACCTGCAGCGTTATGTAAGCTGGCTAAAATTATGATTGCTGGCCTGAATTATGTCAGTTAGCCTGAATATTAAGAGTCGCACTGTGCAACCTCTAAAAATCTGCGCAGTGAAATACCGCACAGCGACCCATCCATATTTTGGTCTAAACTAATTTTAAATCCTACGAAACTATTTCGTCCAATTAGACCTGTAAAATTATGTTTCTCAGAAACACTAATCTATTTATAGTAAATCTTTCAGTGTGCAAAATTAGGTAAATTAAGCGCACATATGCGTACGTACGACGTACATGGGTACATAGTATGCACATAATTTTACACATACCGTAGTTTTGAAATGATATAAATATTTCTAAACTCTGAATAATTCCAACAATAATAATGGACCAAATATTTGCATTAGAATATTTTGATGCGATATTTAGATTCCTTCCGACTAATAAAGACTTATATTCTTGTCTCTTAGTTAATAAGCATTGGGCTACTTGTGCCGTTCCAATTTTATGGGAAGCACCTTTCAGAATTAAAGGCACATATATTCCATCTCCCAAAGTGATCAAAACCTATCTTGCATTTATACCAGATAATACTTTTCACAGATTAAAATATAAAAGAAGAATTGGGTTATTGATTACTGGGTCTCCTTGTTTTAAATATCCATCATTTCTTAAAGAGCTCTCATATGATCAATTTATTAAAGCAGCTATAGCAAACAATTGCTGTAAAGATATTATACTTGAATTATTGAAAATACTTTGTGTAAGATTACGTCGATTTGGTACCTACAGCTGTCTTAATCATCATTCCGAAAACCTAGATAATATAGGGTCTTTGGTTCTTCCTCATTTTTCTAAATACACTTCTATATTTAACGGATTGACTTATCTTAATTGTAGCTATAAATGGCCAATGCAAAAAACACAACTTTTTAATGCAATGTCAAAGAATTGTCATAATATTGAAAATCTTAAAGTCAGCATTTACTATGATAATGAAGGAATAGCTTTAGCGGCCCTTATCCGTTCTCAAAAGCATTTAAAGAAGTTTTCTCTGATTAATGGTAATCAATTTGCATCATTTCCTGTCCAAGCTCTTGTAAGTCAAAACCATTCACTTAATTATATAGCATTTAAAGACATGCATCGTAATCATATTTTAGGCAAGGGGAGATTTTTTAATTATTCTATTTGTCAGTTAAATAGCAACGATATTAATATACTTGCTCAGTGTACAAATATCAGAAAAATAAAATTCAAACACTGTGAAGGGCTCAATTCTTATGTATTTCTTCCTCTTTCCACTGCTTTTTCATATTTAACATCCTTAGAATATTCTTACGGCACTTATAACGTTTATGATTATGCAACTCCTATTATGTTATTATCTGATCTCATTATGACAAGTTGTCATACACTTAAAAGCATTATACTTGAGTGGCATTCTCATAATTATATAGATATTACCAAGCTTGTCAAAATTATTACTCAATATGTGATAAGTCTTGAATGTTTAAAAATTCCACTTTATACATTAGATCAACTTGTTCTAATTCATCAAAAACAAAATCAATTAAAAAGACTTGAAATACATATTTATAAAAGAATAAGTCCATATTATGTTCTTTTTCTTTTAGCAAATGTTCCACTTAAAAGTCTTGAACATTCAATTCAATTATACTTTGACTGTTATGAAAATTTTAAACTAAAATTTTATCAATTAAATCAGATTTTTGAATCAATTTTCTACAAAAGTAATCGGATCGTTAATTTTAGTTTATACCTACGTAATGGCCTTTCGGCAGAAAAGATGCTATTAAGAAATTATCCGAGACTTAAAATTAATTTTCTATTTGATCGTACATATGATACAATATTAGATTCTGGAAAGTACGAATGTGATGAATTGTTTGAGGTTTTTAATAATTTATTAGAAATAAATTCAGATGATATATGGGCATTAAAGCAACGTGGGGCAACTTATTTTAATATAAAAATGTATATAGAAGCACTTGAAGATTTGAACAAGTCTTTAGAAATTGAACCAAATGACGCTTATGCATTAAGATTACGTGGAGAAATTTATTATTTTATAGGAAAATATGAAAATTCATTAATAGATTTAAACCAATCATTAGAAATTGAACCAAACAATGCATGGGCATTAACATTTCGCGGAATCATATATTCTACGACTAAAAAGTATAAGGAGTCACTTGATGATTTAAATAAATCCTTAAAAATTGAGCCAAGATATTTATTTGCATTGAAAAAACGTGATGAAGTTTATTGTGAGATGAATAGATATTACGAATCACTTGAAAACTTAAATCAAATTCTCAAAGTAGAGCCAAATAACGCATTTGCATTAAAAAATAGGGGTGCAATTTATTGGAACATGAAAAAGTATGAACAATCACTTGAAGACCTAAATAAATCTCTTAAAATCGAACCAGATGATGCATTTGCATTAAAATACCGTGGTGCCATCTATCATATAATGAAAAACCATCATGAATCACTTGCAGATTTAAACAAATCTCTTGAAATCGAACCAAATGATGCATTTGCATTAAGATATCGTGGAATAAGCTATTTTAAGATTGAGAAGTATGAAATGGCATTTAATGATTTAAATGGATCATTAATAATTGAACCAAATGATGCCCTCACATTAAAACTACGTGGTATAACTTGTTATTATATGAAATCATATGATAAATCACTCAATGACTTAAATAAATCATTAGAAATTGATCCGGATAATGTCGATTCTTTAGGGTATCGTGGAAGGATTTATTATATAACAGGAGATTATGAAAAATCATTTGAAGATTCAAATAAATTATTAGAAATTGAGCCAACTAATGTGATTGCATTAGGAACTCGTGGTACAATCTACAGAATAATGAAAGAATACGATAAATCACTTGTAGACTTGAATAAATCTCTTAGAATTGAGCCACGTGATGCATTTGCATTAAAAAATCGAGGTGCCATTTATCAAATAATGAAAAGGTTTGATAAATCACTTTCAGATTTAAATGCTTCTCTTGAAATAGAACCAGATGATATATTTGCATTAAAATATCGTGGTGCAACTTATCTTATGATAAATAATGACGTTCTTTGTTATTATTATGGATCTTATTTGCGGTCTGTCAGAAATTCCTTTAAATACGAAAAATCGCTTGCAGATTTAAATAAAGTACTAAAAATTGAACCAAAGGACGCATTTGCGTTAAGATATCGTGGAATAAATTACTGTAAGACTAAGAAATACAAATTGTCACTTAATGATTTAAATAGGTCACTAAAAATTGAGCCAAATAATGCAATTACATTACAACAACGTGGTGTGACTTATTTATATATGAAATCTTACGATAAATCACTCGAAGACTTAAATAACTCATTAGAAATTGATCCAAATAACGCTGATTCTTTGGGATATCGGGGAAGGATTTATTATATGATGGGAAATTATGACAAATCAGTTGAAGATTCAAATAAATCACTAAAAATTGAGCAAACTAATGCAATTGCATTAGGAACTCGTGGTGCAATTTACAGAAGAATGAAAAAATATGACGAATCACTAGTAGACTTGAACAAAGCTCTCGAAATAGAGTCAAATGATGCACTTGTATTAAAAAATCGTGGTGCAATCCATCATATAATGAAAAACTATCATGAATCACTTACAGACTTAAACAAATCTCTTGAAATCGAACCAAATGATGCTTTTGCATTAAAATATCGTGATGCAACTAATCTTAAGATGATGTTTTTAAATTAAAATATTGTGATGCAATTAATCAATCGCTTGCAGATTTAAATGGGCACTAGAAATTGAAGATATCGTGAAATAAATTATTGTAAAACTAAAAACTATGAAATTTCCTTTAATCATTTAAATGGTCTACTAAAACTTGAGCTGAGTGATTTACTCATATTGCAACAAAGTTGTGTAACTTGTTCTTATGCGAAAATATACGATGAACCAATCGAATCAATCAATGGAAAAGTATTATACTGTAATAAATCAGATTTAAATAAATCTCTTAAATAGAACTAGATGATACAATTCAATATTGAAGAGTTTTGAATATTTAGGGTATCATCAAGTGCTTTAATCAATTGATCAAATTTGTCGGAAATTAAATTTTAACCAATCAAACGTGCATGTCACTAAAATAAATAAGGCATAGAACACTTAGTTTATTATCGTTGTCAAATAAAAGATTGAAAATTTTAGTAAAAAAATGTCAAGTTTATTATTCATTTTTCAATGGTTAAAAAATTTTTTAAGTATCTATTGTGCCAATTATTCTATTTTTTTTTGTCATTTTTATTCGGTTATCCAACTTCTCCGATAGGATCGATACAGATTCCATAAATGCAACTGAAAAGTAACCTTGTGTGGAACAAATGAAGATTAGAAAATCAAAGCACTCTAATTCTTTTAACGACACATTATATCATTACCCATAACTGATTGTACAATAATATGAATGCTTCCAAGGGGAAACCTGTCATCGGGTTTTCAATTATATTTATTGTCCAGTTTGTCCCAGAACATCATCTTGGGAAAATCTATCATCGAGTTTAATCAATTATATTTTACAAATATAATTAAAAACCAGATAATAGATTTTTTCTAGACGGCACTTTGGAAACAAACTGAACACAAAATATAATTGATCGCCCGATGACAGGTTTTCCTTTGACAGCACTCATATATTGAAATTAATAAATATGTAAGTAGCGATAGAAGATTCAGTTGATATTCTTTATTATTTTTGTGGTTTTATAAAATTTTTGATAACATTTAATGAACCATTTGGAATCGAAAAAAGTTTCTCAAGTGCTGATCGAGTCTTTACTAGTGATGGGAAAAATGCGCATGATATCGCATGATAAAAAAAAAGGCAAAAAAAAAGAAAAACCGATCGAGAGGAGAGAAATCTTGATGGGATAAAATGCGCATGAATGTGCATTAATGCGCATGTTTTCGCAATCATGCGCACGCATGAAACCCATCTCTAGTCTTTACTTTGATCTATCATAGCAAATATCAATAATATAATCGTTATTACTATTGATTTTTATCTAAAATAATATAAAATAGCTAAAATTACGCCATAAAAACTTTGGCACACTTGTATGTTATTTCGATTACTAGAAAATTGCATCCGGGTTATATTAAGAACGCCTTAGACTATTCTTATCTATGTTACGATTTGCAAAATCTTTCTTATTAGTTAATTATAGCATGTTTATAAAGCTAGATAGTTGCATAATCATCGTGCAAAACTAGGAATGGAAAATTTGAAAATAACTGCAAAAAAAATATTTAAATAAATGAATATGTAACAATTAATAATAACAAGATGAATAAACTTTTCTTAGCTTGTTAATTTGTGCTGAATTAATCTCAAAATTCCTAAAAAAGAGTTAATTGAAATAAGTTAACGAAAAAAATCTATATCATGACATATAAATAGGAATGAGGGTGTATTTTACATTTAAGTGATAATTTTCGATAAGCCTGCCTATGATTCCTCTAAAAATAGTAAGGGAGCATTATAATAAGAAGGGTCTTTAGTCCAGACTATACCATATTCGGTAATCAAAATTATGTGACATCACGTTGTGATATTAATGCCCTTATTATTTATATGAATAAATAGCTTTATAGATATAGGTTGTCATAACCGTAACTATCAAACGTTAGAGTAAGGTTGGGATTGAGGAAAGGCATAGCATATCATAATTTTACAAGAATTTTTTTTCATAATCAAAATTATTATCGGTTTTTTTTTTAAAAAAAGTAGCTTTTATTTGATTTTACGTTACACAACCATGATTACAAAGTTGAGCAACAGGAACGATCGTTCAAATTAGTAGATGATCGATATAGTTACACAATTGATAAAATGATTTTTTTTATGCATTTTATTTTCTATCAGACGGAAGTAAATTTAACGAATGAATTAATGCTTTCCGCTTAATGACATATTCTTTGAATCTCTGTGAATCCCATGACTTTTTTTGAACCCGATTGGCCGATTTGAGACACGATTAGCTAATAATCATGTGTAACTGTATCGTAATCATCTGCAAATCCGTGTATTTGATCTACTATCCCGTTCCATCTATATTTGGAGGTCCCATAGCAAAAGGTGGCGATGGGTCAACCAATTATGAATCTGATGATAAATAATTTTCTTATAACGATAATCATACGATTGTCGCATCGCTATTTTTGGGTCAATGGCCAGAATTAGCATTAGAGTTAAGGTTAGGGTGCTTATATGCACAACACTGGCCGGATTTATTAAGTAATACGTCCCAATGTCAGTCGTCATATTACCTTAATTATTCTTAACTATTGCAAGTAATATAGTAAATTACGTTTATAATGCCGTAACTTACTATATTACTTACTATAGCTACGGCAAGTTACGGCAATGTGATAAACATCATTGGGACGATTCTACCGCATCACTAGTCTGTAGCGACTATCCCAATTTTTACTGTGGAGCCCATTTGTTGGTATATCCATGGCACATGCAATGTTGATATCATCGTTATCAAAGTAAATATTTTTAAATAGTATTTATATCTCGTTTTCTATTTTGAAATTTGTTTATAATCAACTTCAACTTTCCAATTTTAATCAAGCTTTTTATCTTAAGATTCTCACGAAAAAATTATTCCTTGCTATTATAACGGTTTTATTTTGCTAATCGCTACTAATACCAAAAATGAAGAGATATACAGCACCAGTATATTCTGATTTTTTCGTATTTGGTTGGTCAGCATGAATTTTAGATTTATAGGTAGTGAGTCGATGTTCTTAATACGTACGTATTTAATACGTATAAATTTATTCAACTATATGCATGTCATATGAATATTTTTAGATAGAAGACTCTAACGGTTCGGTAACTTTGGTTAAAATTCCGCAAAACCCAGTATTATGTCTCTGCAAGCATAAGCTATAAAGACATTTCTATAATACAGTGTATTAAATTTTGTTTTCATATTTAAATAACAGAAATGGCACTATAAGTTTACTTGTAGAGACGTCATACTGGTCGATCGAACAGCATCTATTTAGTTCTATTTACCTATCATTAGCTATCTAAAAATATGGTTGATTACATAATATACAACGCATCCCAGCATATTATCGTCTGACGTCCGAAACTTTTTATATTATGATAACTATTTATATACATAGCCGACATTTTAAATGATCGACTAATTTAATCGACAAAGTCGGCTAAGCCATATCGACTTGAAACACTATATCGTTTTATTGTGTTAATTGCATATATGCATATATATATAACTACAAGTTACATATTAGCGCTACAGTATTACATATTCTTAATATTACTACAATTCACTTCTCATGTAGGTAATTAGTGTGATTAAAAGTTTTAGGTTTCTATTGACCATCGATTATTATCTATAACATAAATCATGGACGAGGTCGTTCGGTGATGGGCAATATTAATTTCGGTTGAAATTTTCTTTCGGCGTAATTAATTTACCATAAATGTTTAGTGCTCCATAATAATTCCATAATAATTATTGGCGTATGCAGCATGTTTTCTTGCCATGTCGGTCATGTCGGTATAGCGTTTTATACGTATTAATACATGTAATAACCTTAATAACTTTTTCTTGGCATACATGTATCCTTTTCTTGGCACGTAAGATATAAATGTATATGAATCTAAATACGTCTTCTTGTCCTACGCATTTACCCCGTCCCTTTAATAATATATATTAATTACCTTCGTTGGTCAAAAATTTTTTATAGGAAAAAATAGATATGTTTGTAGCTTTTTCACAAGTGCTTTGTTTTCAGTCATTTATCATGCTTTCCATTTTACTCTTTTTCTTAGAGACCTTAATCACTACTGCTATTGCTCAGCAACAATGCGTACCGTACGCATCTAATTATTCTTTTACAACTGGTTATCCACCAATTTGGCAAAAGCCCACAAGTCTAATTTTTAATACAGATGAATTTAAGAAACTTAACAGTTCTATTGATTGGACAAAAGTTCCTAATATTCCACCTCGTAAACTGATAAATGGGGCTTTAGATAGAAGTACTTATCCTATTACTGACCCGGATTGTTGGTGGTCATATAATCTATGCACAACACCCAAAGCACCCGGACTGCAACCTGATATTTACATGTGTCCCGAGCCTGGTGAGAACTTAATTGTATTACTATATTAAAAATTCTTCGTGTTATCATATCGAATTGACCATATGTTTGCTGCCAATATTCGATTATTCATTCTAAAGGTACTTGGGGTATATCATTCGATGATGGTCCAAACTGCACTCATAATGTGTTTTACGACTACCTTAAGGCAAATAATCAGAATGCGACTATGTTTTTTATTGGATCAAATGTTGCTGATTTACCGTACGAAGCGCAGCGCGCTCACAGAGATAAACATCATCTTTGTGTTCATACGTGGTCTCATCAATATATGACTACACTTACGAACGATGAAGCGCTTGCAGAATTGTTCTACACTAGGAAGGTTATGAAAGAAGTCATAGGCATAACGTCTCGTTGCTGGCGTCCTGTAAGCATTATTTCGTAATGCAATAATTTATTATGAGCCACTTAATAATTTTTTTTTCTTCGTTGACAGCCTTTTGGTGACTGTGATGATCGAATTCGTGCGATTGCTCAACAACTCAACTTGACAACTATTATCTGGAATCTTGGTAAGTAAACATCTGAATGTTAAACGATGTAGAATGTGTTCCGACCTTAACTCCAATTATAACATTTACAGATTCCAATGATTGGAATATGGTACCTGCAGGCGTCAAGCAACCTGCAGAAATTGATGGTATTTTCCAAAGTTTTGTTGATATGGGTCTAAATGGAACCTTCTCTAAAACTGGCGCAATCGCTCTGCAACATGAACTAAACAATGGAACAATGTCCAAGGCTATTGAATGGTACCCAAAGCTCAAAAGCGCCTATAAACATATTGTTCCTATCGCTACATGCATGAATATTACTCATCCATATGAAGAATCAAACATCACCTATCCATCATTTGCCGAATACATTGGCACGCAGGGAAATAATGGTGGTACCTCAAATAATAATAATCCCACAAAAAAATCATCATCCGTTTCGATATCAAGTTATAGCAGCTTAATTTCCAGGGTGATTGCTATACTCATAGCAGTCTATTTAGCATTTTAATTTTTTAGATATTTTTGGTGTTTTTATGTCATAGACATTTATAAAATACTAATATTCATTATGTCCTTATGGACATGCTTTAGTATTTACAAAAGAGTCGGTATCTTAATAGGTAAATTTTTGTAATGTTATGAATAAGTTATAAGGTCGAATCATGTTTAAATAGATTTATAAATATTATATTTGTATGTATGAACTAAAACAAATGAAATAATTATTAAAAAATAAATGAGTTTTTCTATTTGACACCTGGGCAAATTTGTTCGAAATATATAATTATCTATAACCTACATTTACCCAAATATAAGTTTTTACTCTAACCCTAATAAAACTCGGTATTTATATTTTAATCCAAATTTTATGCACAATATACAGTATTTATTTAGTAATTTTCTGAATAAAGGATTTGAATTAAATTTTAACAATCAATATATATATAGGAAAATTTTCGCTATGCGCCAAATATATTTTCTCAAATTTTTATGAATTGATATATAAAAAAGAATTTATATTCATGATTAAAATTGTTACAAATGAAATTATCTAATGATATTACAAAAAATAAATTCTTGTAATTTGATGTATTAAATAATTAAGATGATTAAGTTAAAATGATTTATTTATCAACTTTTCAAAAATTCTTGTAAGCATGAATTACAATTCAAAAAATTTTAAAAATATAGTTAAATTATGAAAAAATCTAAAAAGTGCATGCCTAATGCTATACGTAATAGCAAATAAGTAATAAGCACAATATTAAAATAATAATAATGATTAGAATTAAAGTTATGGTTAGAGTTTGACTTAGAGTAAATTTTACAGAAAATCTTTTTATCAATTATACAACAAGAGTTACTCTAGTAAATTTTGAGGTAATTATTATCAATTTTGTTTTGATATTAAGATGAGGCCATGCTTCTAACTTTATTAAAACTTAGTTAAATATTTATAAGTAAATATACAGAAAAAACTTTATTTGAATTCTATATTTCTACTAGGCACAGAAGACTAAGAAACTAAGAAGATAGAATCTCACTTGGAAATTCCCAAATAAAGAGATAATACAAACTTTTGATGATGCTGTAGAATTAATAAAAGCTCATGAAACATCTTAATAGAAATAAGTAGATAAACTATATAATAAGATGTGTAGAGAAGCATATAATCAATCAGGTGATCAGAATCACCAGAAGAAAAGGATACTAAGGTATATTATACTAGGTCATTTGAATTGAAAATCTAGGAAGTTCTGTCAGTTTTGAGTTACAGTTATTAGAAGATAATAAAAAAGATATCAGAAAGATAGATACTGGTATTTGGGTGAATTTTACAAGATTAAAAATAGTATAATATAGTAGTTTAAAGTTAGTCCTAACAATAAGTGTTAAGTAACTATAACATGTTACATAAAACTAGATTAGTTATGTATAGAACATAAAAAACTCTAATAATGATGTTTCTGAGAATATATTGTATAAAATAAGATATAGGGTTTTAAGGATATGAGAAAGCATCTAGATCTTCTTGATTAACATATGTATTAAAGATAATCTAGTGACACAATAAGAATTTGCAGTACATAGGTTTTAAATAGAAAATGATCTCAGTTGAGTTGCAAATATGGCAGCTAGTATAGTAATAGTGGTAGACTACTTAAATTAGATATCAAAGTATATATATAGTTAGTTGTACTCTTCAATGTAAAGGTAACTTCTTTGAGGCCCTAACAGTGAGTTTCTTTATCCTAATTATTGAATAAAAAGCTCCAGTCTAAAAAAGTCTAGTTTAATATAAAAAAAAATTAAATTTTATATTTAGAATGTTATATAAGTATATGTTTGATTTGTTAATAAGTATAATATATAATATTTGATTATAATATATAGAAATAAGTCAACAAATATAAACAAATTATTTTTGTTAAATTTTTTTTAAAATTTAAATTTACATATTTTAACTAAAACTTAATTAATTTTGATAATTTATTATTTATTTTAAGGAAATTATAATTTGGTGCACCTATTATACTTTAGAGTAAGTATATTAGCATATAACAGGTTTTTTTAGTTAAATTATATAACTTTGTGTAACACATATAACCTTGTGCAACATAATGCATAATTTTGTGTAGCAGCATAATATATATCTGTTATATAAATTATATATATCAATTGGGTGTATTTATTTGTATTATATAAGGGATGCACCATGGTGCAAGTGCACTATTTTAAAAAATCCTTATTTTAATTCTATAAACTTTAAAAATAAAATAAATACCAAATTAACAAATTTGATTAAGTTTTAGTTAAAATATTTAAACTTAACTTTTAATAAAAGTAAACTTTGAACTCTTCATATAGATCACTTATACCAAAAAACACAAAAAAACATTTAATTATTTCTTAACATTTTACTAAGTAAACCTTACTTGACCTCTTAAGTAAAGTTGTTCAGCATATTTTTTCATTCCCAGACAGCTGTGTTTCAAGTTCTGATAACACTTGGGTGCCAGGAAAAGTCACAAAAATTATAATTTAGATTTTTGTCTATTTACTCAATATTTTACTAATTAAATCTATTATACTGCCTATTCAAAAGTTATTTAGCTCACTGAGCCAGACATTTTGATAAATATTTTGTTTAAAACAGTCAAAACTCATAGAGATACAAGTGAAAAGCAAAAACAAAAACTTGTCCTTTGCAGGTTTTTTCGTTGGCAATTTTAGAAAAATTTACAAGGGTGTCCCAGAAATTTCACTTTTCTGATACCCATTAAAATTTCCTAAACACCCAATCAGATTATCTGAAACTTAAACTTTTTCCCAAACTTTTCCAATTAGTCTGGAAACCTTTAAATTAAACAAATTTTTTTGAAAAACATACTTAGAAACCTATTTTTAAGAAAAAATACTGACTTTAATAACAGTTACACCTAATATCATCAATCTTAACTATTTTTACCAAAAGTATTCTAAAAGCTTTGGTATTGGTATTCTTGAAGATGCAGCTAATACATCATGTCCCATTCTTGCAAACAAGCAACCAAATAATTGTACAACTACAGAACTTAAAGGAGTGACTAAAAGTTGTCATTACTTTAAAATACCTGAATCTAGTTCTATTATTACTTACTTTTGTAGCAAGTTTCACATTCACTTTATCTCAACTACCAACCAAATTTACAAACAACAGAAAGTTATTTCTACTAACAAAAAATCCAAGGATAAAAAATCCTTAGCAAACAACATTGCAAATTCTACTGAATTTATCCCACCATCACCAACAGCATCACCCTTACCTACTATACACAATCACCTATATTGAAAATGCAACTTGCTTATTGCCTGCAAAGAAATAAATAATCAACATTATCTGGCAGCAGACACAATTTTATACAATGATAAACCTCATCACAAAACATGTACAAATACTTAACAACCTATTCAATCATCAAGTTCCTCTTCTACATTTATCCAAAAACTTTAACAAACAATCAGTTCTTATAACCCACTAGCATCTGAACTTACCTTTATAACATCATCATTAGGTAGTACTAGCAATCCTAATGGTATGGACTTGGACAACAACACAATCAACAATGATAACCAACAATTACCACACTCTCATAAACAATTACAACAACAACAACAACCATAAAAACAACAACAACAATCAAATAAACAACAACAACAAACACAATCTAATATCAACAATAATCAACAAAAAACTAAAGCCAACTTAACATTTGACTGGCTTGCCAACTTTCCTGTAACTGAAGAAATAAAAGACAAATTACAATTACAAACAGATTTTTCTAAAAAAATCATTAACTTCCTTAAACAACACCTATTTAATTTCAAACCTGGAATTGAAATTAAACCTAAAATTGGTGATCGACCAGCTCTTAAAGCTAGTTTCTACCATATAATTCGCAAAATAGCAGAGGAAAGACCTCAATTTCTAGTTGAATTTATTTAAAAAAACAATCCAAATATTAACAAAACCATAACTATTCCTTTTGATATACTTGAAGAAACTCTTAAAAAATTAATTCTTACATTTACTACTGTATTCTTTACAAAGCACAACTATCCAAAAATATTTGCTTCATCTGCAA